AGTGAAGATAAGAAGTAATAAGATAAGAAAACTTTATTTGTCTCACAATTGAGAAATTCCCAATTTACAGCAGCAAAATTATGAAAGGGAGAAAGTTAAAGACAAAAAGTATATAAATAAAAATATAAATATCAGCATATTTAAAATATAAAAATCATATAAAACATATAAAACATGATTTTTTTAAAATAAATTCAAGACATGAAAAAACACATTTCTTAAAAAATGATAAAAAGTAAATCAAATTTCAAGACCTAATTATAAGTTTTATTTTACTTGTGCACAAAATGAACCGTACATGACGTACTATCATGACAGTCACACGTTGACTACTAAGCGAACTAAATTTCCCGCAGCACTGATTGAACAAGCAATGTAATGTGATCATCCGCAGCCAATGATGGCCAAGCGGGTGTATCATAACTAATTGACATGTTGAGTCGGGTGTGTGTCTTAACCTCCATGGCAGAGGCTCCGTCGAACCCCTGAGACCGATTCACCGAATCCCTGGGATTCGATCGAACCCAGGTTAAGAACCACAGATCTAAATTATCTATACCGGGGATGTAGCATCGAAAAGGGAGCACAATGTCTTACTTGGCGTGCAGCTAGCCATCAAGCTCTGCTCACAATATGAAAAAAAAGTTTCCTGAAGTGTGATTTTTAAAATGTATTTATTAATTTTTTTGTTGGTGTGTGTTATTTGGGCGACAATGCCGTGTGCATGAATGAGTTGCACACGTAGCATATAGCGACGACAGAGGCGGCACCACCACCACATAAACACATGATGTTGCGGCTAACTCTTAGATTTTATACTGCTTAGCCACATGGGCCAACCCTGGGAAGGATAAGTTACAGCAATTGCAAGTGGGCCTTTGCACTGGATGGTGCTTGAGCAGAAGTAGTTATAACCTAGTAAAATAAGTAAATCAATAAATATATCATTTTAGGAGTGATTCAACTTTATTTGTCCAACTGTAAGTCAAAGTTAGCAATTGCCGAGTGTAATTCTTATCACTTTTTTTCCCATCCAACTCTCCCAGCGGCAGATTACAGGAAATCTGTAATTGCATTTTCGGGAGATACGATTGGCATGGCATCCCCGACTACAGTCCCAAAAAGACAGTTTTTATTTTGTACAGTGGACAGATTATTTTAGTTTTTATGATGCCAATCTACACTGACTATTTACTTATGTGAGTTCCACTTTGGATTTGTCGCGCTTTTGTTATCCATAAAGGGAAATTACAGAACTCATGATCTGAGCTTTAATCATCAAGTCAACTCGAGTTATTCAGAAATTTTCGAACTGAGCACTTTTTTTGCTTGATACTGTCTGAGCTTGAGTGATAGGTTGAAGTAGTTTCATGACCACATCCTGTTTGGGAACCTGTTCCCTCACATTGGAGCTGTTTAACTGGTTTTACTCTGCTGGTATGAAAATGGTTTGTTTTCAAGATAGCGCCTCCGGAAAGGGCTGATCGTCAGTGCGGCACTTTTGCCATGGGGCTGTAACAGCTGATTGCCGAAGCCCATAATTAGAATGTTTTGGATGCCGGGCATTTTCTCAACCAATTTGCTATGTTGCTACGGGACAGGGAGTAGCAACTCCGCTGATCTAGTACTCCTCTGCTAATGTAAATCCAAGGTATACGTAGACCAGACACATCATGAAGCTCCTCCCATGGCCATCTTAATCCGCAGACCTCGACCCCATTGAAAACCCGTGGAGGGGGCGAAAGAGGAAAGCGCAGAGGAGAGGACACAGGTCACTGGATGATTTCGAGAGGTTGTGCAAAGAGGAATGGTTGAAGATCCATCCTGCTGTATTCTTCCATCTTGTGAAACCTTATAGGAGGAGATTAGATGTTGTTTTGTTGGCAAAAGGGGGTTGTACAACGTACATATTCACATCGGGGGGCTCATAATTAACCTGATTTGTTGTAAAAGATATATTTCTTTATGTGGGACTTTTTTTCGAATCTTTTTTGAATAAATGCACTTGAGTTAAAGGTTTGATTTTCTTCTAATTGTAAAAAAAAATCCTACATTATTTAGAAAACGAATATATTTATTAAATATCATTTAGAAGGGGCGGCCCAGTGGTCCAGTCAGTGGTCAGCGCGTCGACCTCACAGTGCAGAGGTCGTGGGTTCGATCCCGGCTCCGACCTTCCTGTGTGGAGTTTGCATGTTCTCCCTGGGCCTGCGTGGGTTTTCTCCGGGTACTCCGGTTTTGTCCCACATTCCAAAAACATGCATGGCAGGCTGACTGAACACTCTAAATTGTCCCTAGGTGTGAGTGTGAGCGCGGATGGTTCTTCGTCTCTCTGTGGCCTGCCATTGGCTCGCAACCGGTTCAGGGTGTCCCCCGCCTCCTGCCCGAAGACAGCTGGGATAGGCTTCAGCACCCCCCGCGACCTTTGTGAGGATAAAGTGGATTGGAGAATGGATGGATGGATGGATTATTTAGAGGCTACAGAAACCATCTTAACCAGGGATGCTAATAATTATGGAAGGTGCTGAAATACCAGTGAGGGAAACTGATACAGTACATGCCATTTTCATTATGATTTGACATCAATACTGATACATTCTAATAGTTAAGGGTGCTTAAAATGAATGAAAATTAGTGCCATTAACCCTTTCAGGGACAGTGGTTACTACAGTGGACAGCTTACCATGTTAGCAGGTTACAGGGTGCATGAAAGGGTTGAAGTGTTTTTGTGCCCTTTTTTAACTGAATTATTATTAGGTAAAAACAAGGAAATCATTTGGGAAAAGCTGAGAAGTAAATGGAAATTATTGTTCAGGAACAAAGAGCAAATTTTTCTTAAAATAAAGGTCAAGATATGTTGTGCGCAGGAGATGGGTGATTTCTCTTCTCACTACGTTTCTGGAAGTCATTTTTCCATGGGTGATTTATTGGATGTTTGAATAAATGTGGTGTTTTCACAATATTTGAACCCCTTTTTACATATGTTGCTGATTGCCATTAAGTTTGGCCTTCACCTAAAGCCACACGGCTCTCTTCTTCTTTTCTGTCCTTTATCAGTGTGTGTGTGCGTGTGTGTGCATGCTACTTGCTGATCCTACTTGCTTGTTTACCTGGCCCCCACCGAGACTTGTGACGGTACAACATTCAAACAAAAGGAGCGGGTGGAGCAAGGTTTGTCTGTACCATACTGTTAGCTCTTTTGGTAAAAGTGCAGCAATGCATACAGGAGGGAAACAGAAACTCGATTGTCAAATCACGACACTGCTATCAATCAATATCGATACAAACCTCAATATCAATATTGATTATTTGAGGAGCCCACCCACCAACTACTGCACAGGCAAAAGTAAAAAAAAACAAATCTGAGCAAAGACATTGAGCACTGTTTATTGGGAAAAATCTGGGTACAGGAGACAACAGGGCCACAAAACAAATGTATGAGTCAAATGTCCTCCCGTATACATCTACAAAAAAATTATAATAAATAAATTAATTAATTTTAAAAAAACCCTCGGTTTTCAACCATTAACCGTTCCAGAAGTTCGAAAAGAGATTTGTTCGAAATCGGAAACTATTTTATTAGCCCATGATTAGGGCCTAATGCACTATGCAGAAATCACATAAAAACAGTCAGATTTGCGTAAATCACAACAAACACGTCTGCTCACAATGAACGCTACATGAGGAAGCCTCGTGTTCAGTTTGGTCGAAAACCGGTTTTCGGTCGTAATCCGAGGCGTAAAAATCTCGAATTTTCTGGTAGAAAACAGATTTGGTCGAGAATAGAGACATTCGTGTGTGTCTGTCTGTTCCGTTTCGCCATGTTCATTCGCAATATGGTTTCAAATTTTTAATCCGTTGGTGATTTGTTACCCAGGTCAAAGTTTCATTAGGTGCAGTGGGCTAGGCCAGGGGCCCCCAACCTTTTTTGCCCCACAGACCGGTTTATGTCAGACAATATTTTCAGGGACCGGCATTTAAGGTGTGGCGGAAATAATACAACGAAATAATATGGTATGAGATGCATGAAAACTGTGGCGTTTTCGAAATATAATAAACACAAGGAGCGTCTAATCTGGCCGCAACACTCCCATCGCTATGGCAATGTTTAATGCCTTCAAAATACGATACAGCGCAAATTCCAAGTGCATGAAAATGACGACTCACCACAGCGCCGAGCTTGATTTTCTGCAACTAGACGGTCCCATCTCGGGGTAATAGGAGACAATGACACCTCAAGTGTGTGGTTTATGTCCAGTCTACTTCGTAATTTTGTTTTCGTCGCCGTTGCTGCAGAAAACCCCCGCCTCACACAGGTACGATGTCGGAAACCCCCCGCCTCACACAGGTAGGATGTCGGAAATAGCAACAGTGCTATTGTGGCGATCTCAGAGTATTCAGCCATAACTTTAATCCAGTTGTCTCGAACATACTTTTGAGGTTGCCGTGACTTGCGATCTCCAGCAGGTTTTTTTTTACTCATTTTGCAAGCTCCTGCGTTTTGTTTTAAAGTAATCGGTCACGTGATGGAGAAGCGTGGCTTGACGTGTGTCAAGCGTGACACAGATGGATGTAACGGAGAATCCGGTAGTTTTTCAAAATAAAACATCTTTCGTATTCCGAAATAAATAAAACGGAATTAAGGCAAGTTCTTTCTGTGCGGCCCGGTACCAAATGCCCGGCGGACCGGCAGTTGGGGACCCCTGGGCTAGGCGCTCCGTCATAGCAGGACTCTAAGGCTCGCATTTCTCTTTGCAAATGTTGTTTAAAATAAGTCAGTCTTTCAATGTGTTTGTCCCAGTGAATAGTGGTTACCAAGTTCTCTTTTCCCTCCATGTTGCTTTCAAACTAACCTCTCTGTCCGCATTGAAAATGCCATCCTGCAAAATAATCCCAGTTTTTCATAAATCTACCTGTCAATTGATTGCATGCTTTTATATATGTCCAGAATGCGAATGACAAAATAAGCGAATAATCCATTCTTTTTCTCCTTTTAACAGTGTATAAGTGGGGCTGAGGGCTCCATACCATTGTCAGGATGAAAAGGTTCAGGCGACATGGCCAGGAGTCCCAGAGAGATAGACTCAAACAGGAACTCTTCCAGTTCAACAAGGCAAGTGACAATGTGCACCCACAAATTGATTGCAAGACAAAAGCTTCTTTCATTGAAATAAGATGCACATATAAGTCTTAAATTTTCTCCAAAATGGACGGAGTGCCAAATAAGTCACCTTGTGTATGCACCGAGTTCCAAAATCTCTGAATGCTGTTGTGTAACTTCGATGAGGGGTCTGCTTGACAGACCGATGTGCCGAAACGTTGCTTATATAGAGGACAGGCGGACGTTCAAGTGGGAAGGGTGCACGTGAAAGAGGACGCTCCCAGTAGGTGCCGGCACTTGTATTGTGCAAAACAACATCCCAAAAATGGCACCTACAAAACGGCAGGCAAAAACAACTTCTGAGAGAGAACATGGACTAAAGAGGGCAAAAAACGATGAAGACACAGTTAAAAGTTAAATGACCTAATTTTTATTCTAAAACACTATTCTTTGTTTTTTTTAACCTTATGCACAACTCTCATTTATTGCCCAATAATCAAATTGTAACATGTATTTGTTACATATTCTGATGCATTTTTATGCTTCAGGAAACGTTAATGTCTGAATTTTGCAGGGGCTTGGAACGAATTAGGGCATTTACATGGAAAACGTGTCTCTACTTACAAAATGTTCTATTGAAGAAATTTCTTCTAGAACCAATAAATTTCGTAAGTAGAGGTACCACCGTACAACAAAAACACTGCAGACAAACCCATCTGGCCCAACCACCTCATCAACATGGATGAGGTGCCGTTCATGTTCGACATTCCGGTGAACCACAAGGAGAAGAAATCAATTGCTGGTCCCGCATGGTACCGATACGCACAACAGGGCGTGTGAAGTCGGCTTTCACTGTTGTGCTTGGTTACCATGGTAATGGATAGAAACGGCCAAAGTGAAGTTGCGAGCGGCGTGGGTGCAATGGCGAACACAACTTTTCTAAGATTGGGAGGCACCGCCGGGTGAGTTACGCCACAGTTTGTGAATGGATTGTGTCTGCGTGGGTTTGCGTGTCTGCTTGCACTGTTGTTCGAGCTGACACAAAAGCCGGCATCATTTCTGAGGAGCCGCATGGCAACGAGAGACTCTGACAATGACGCGAGGGAACCAGGCTTGTTTGATTGTGAACTTGAGCTTGAACAAGGAAAGCAGCCCTTTGTGGGAAAAAAGTGAACACCCAAAAACACATTAAAAGGATTTCTGTCATGAAGGGAACACTTAATCCATTACACTTCAAAAACTTGTCTTAGAATGTGGCATATGCAGCAGACGTGTCAACAAACGCACACATTGATAACTTCCCTGAGTTCCCAAATATAGCGCTTTAGAGGCTAACGCTAATGTGTGCAGCCAACAAAACCGAATTCAACTCAGTTTACCTTTTGGCTTCGTCATCTTTCAGTCAGTGTAGTGTGGCCGTGGCTTTTAAATTGCAGATATACGTGGAGGCTAGCTGCCTATTTTCAGATTTAGAATAATGGCCAAGTATGTTGCGACCACAAGGAATTTTTCTGCGGAAGTAGGCATCATCTTAGTCGTACAAAATACACATTTAGGACATTAACAGTAAAGTACAGAGAGTCCTGAAGCAATGTGTTTTTGTTTTTTAAAAAAATATATTTTATTTAACCAGATTAAAAACTCAATGAGATTTCCAACTTTTGTTTTCTCTCAAAATGGCGCCGTAGTTGGGAGCTCTTCAAGAGCTGTGCTTTTTTGTTGTTGTTTTTGTCATTTGTTTTTTGTCATGTAAGTGATTGTTGTCCTTCATGTGCACCCGCCAGCGCTATTTGATTGTCGTCGCTTGACAGCTGTGGGGCGCTTATGTTTTTTGCGCCTGTAATAGGCAGCATTTTTCATAGCCCCGTTTTGTTCTGCGGAGATGTCAGCACTGTTGGACAGTCTGCGTTGGTGCGACTGGTTCGATGGCTGGTGGAGCTGAGGATGAGGAGAGTGGAGTGCCAGAATTGAGTACCTGTATTTGGAACTGAGTATCAGTGCTCGGGATTGAAGTGGATCTAGGTGGGACAGGAGAACTGAACCTAACCCTGTATTTATCAATGGACGCTACAACTTCTTGTTTATTTTCAAACTTAGCTTGTAGCAGACGCGTGTGATGTCATGCATGCTGCAATCATGACATGTCTGAACTATTGGCGAAAGAAGACTTGAATTCTCTCTTTCATCTATAACCACTTCAAACAACATGGCTTAAATAGGAATACAGTAGTTGTTACCATTGTATTATCTTTGATGTTTTGTGGTATATGTTCTGGTGCATTATTATTTTATGCTAAATGTTCTGTAAAGTGCTTTGTTACTGCTGCCGCTGATGTGAAGGCGTAAATAAAGATGTATTGTAAAAGAGAGACCTGGCCAAGAGGCAGCACCACAAAGTAACCACTCATGTGGTAACACTGATACAACAACTGTGCAAATAACGCAGTGACAAAGCTACAATGAAGAGTATGGTAATTATCTCGGGCAGAAACTCAAGTGTGGGTAACACTGATACAAAAACAATTGTGCAAATAACGATGAGTGACCAAGGTACAACAAAGATACATAAATTTTCTTCCACTTCGGCTTTTCCGGGGTTTCGTCACATGGGTGTTATCATGGAAGCTCTGACTTCCCTCTCCCCTGCCACTTCATCCAGCTCTTCCGAGAGGATCCCGAGGCATTCCCAAACCAGTATGTCCTGGGTTGTCTCTGGGGCCTCCTCCCAGTGGGATGTGCCTGGAGCACCTCACAAGATGGCATCCAAGAGGCATCCTACCTCATCTGACACTTCTCAATGCGGAGGAATGACTGCTTTACACTGAGGCCCTCCTGGATGACCGTGCTTCTCTTCTTTCGTCCTATCGTGGATCTTGTTCTTTCTGTCATGAGCCACAGCTTGTGACCAGAAATGAGGGTGGGAATGATGATAGATAAGTAAATTGAGAGCTCAGGTTTTTCTTCACCACATCAGACCGACACAGACAGAGCCTGCATCACTCAAGATGTAACACTGATCCGCCTGTCAATCTCCCACTTCATTCTTTCCTCACCTGTTAACAAACCCCCAAGATACTTGAATTCTTTTACTTAGGGCAGGACCTCATCCCCAATCTGAAGAAAGCAGTCCATCATTTTGTGGATGAGTACCATAGTCTTTGGAGATGCTGATTCTCATCCCAACCACGACATACTAGGCTGTGGGGACCACTCCAGTGAGAATTGGAAATATTGGCTTGATGAAGTCAAAAGAGCCATATTATCTGCAAAAAGCAGATTCCATACTGAGGTCACCAAACTGGATGCCCTCAATGCCTCAGCTGCAATGATAAATTCTGTACATAAATGTTATCAACAGAATTGGTGATAAAGGGAAGTGTTGGTAAAGTCCAACCCTCACTAGAAATAAATCTGGTGCACTGCTCCCTACTTTTGAGATGCCGAATGGTGGACCAGAATTTTCTTGAACCCTCCTCTCACACGCGTTTTTGCCTCAGTGACAAACAAAGCCGCATTTTGCTTGGCCTGCCGGTACCCATCAGCTCTGGACACAAGCATAAAAGGCCAATATGATTCTTTCTTCATCTTGACGACATCCCTTTACTGCCTGTGTCCACAAACCAGTCCAGGGGCACTCAACATGACATGCACCCAACACCGTGTGGCCACAGCTCCGGTCAGCTGCTTCAAAAATGGAGTGCAAGAAATGGTCCCCTCGCACTCAATATGTTATTGAAACTTCTTCTGTCAGTGGACTCTGCCAAATGTGCCCCGCAGACCCTCACAATACGTTTGGGTCTGCTAGATTGAGCTGGCCTCTTTCCCCACGGTCGGCATCAACACACCACTAGATGGTGATCAGTTGACAGCTCCAGCCCTCTCTTCACCCGAAATTGCCCATGACACGCGGCAGCATCTCCGATGACAAGACCACAACATTGATCATGAAACTGCAGCCTTGGGTGTCCTGGTGCCAAGCGCACATATGGAACACCCTTATATTTGAACAAGATGTAAGATTTGGACAGTCTGTGATGAGCACAGAAGTCCAATAACAGAACACTGCTCAGGTTCTAGGTGGGGCTCATTCGTCCCAATCACAACCCTCCAGTTCTCACTGTCATTGACTATATGGGAATTTAAGTCACCCAACAGAACGATGGAGTCACCAGCGTGAACGCTCTCCAGTTCTCCCTCCAAGGAATCCAAAAAGGGTGGGTACTCTGAGTTGTCAGGACCCGTCCCCCGCACTGAGAGGCAACTTCAAAGTGGACTAGAGTCCAACTGCTCTCAAGATGACTGATACCAGAACTCAAACTGTGTGTGTTGAAGTGAGCCTGACTACATTACTCCGAGACCTCGCACACCAGCTCAGGCTCTTCCCCTGCTTTGAGAGAGATGACCTTCCATGTCCATAGAGCCAGCTTGTCTAGCCGGTGATCTTCGTCGAGGGAAGGGAAAATAGCGTCAAATAAATTGTATTTGTCATTGGGGTTGTGAGCCGTGCTTTGCCTGGTCCCTCACCTCGGACACGTCTGCCATGGTTCACCCTATCCGGAGCATAAAGCCCCAGATAACTTAACTTCTATAATCATGACACAAACCCATCCACCACGGTTGGTTGACTGCTCACGCAGGGCATATTTTCCGCAACTTGTTTCCCTTAACTCATTCACTCCCAAAGACGTTTTTAAACATCTTTTCAGACTTGGTCTAGAATTGGCTGGTACTGAATGAGTTAATAAGAGCTTATCAGGTCTTTTAAACAAACTTAAATAATATAGACATGACCTATCTAGAGACACACGTACATGGTAACACTGGTAATATTCCTCGTTAATTATTTTATGTGAGTCCGTGTACTCTGAAAACTGACTCGAATTGCAATTTTATTGTCAGACTTTCACGTTTGGTTTTCTCTTGTCTCTAGACTGTGGAGCATGGCTTCCCTCACCAGCCCAGTGCTCTGGGCTACAGTCCTTCTCTGCAGCTGCTGGCCATTGGTACCCGTTCAGGAGCCATCAAATTGCATCCTTTTTTTGAAAGGCCGTTTCTATTGAAAATGTTGTAATCATGTATATTTTAAATTGAACTCAGCAGTGTCTCTGGATTGCTTTATCGCTTATAAGTTGTCCCTTGAAAACCTTTGTTAGTTTGACAATGGGGAAATTTGCAGCATGACCAAACACATTCGAAACACATTTCTCTAGTCAGGATCTGTTGGACTTTTCCCTGAAAGTATAATCTCATAAATCTATAATAAAAATATATTGTAGTGACATGTCTATCAAAAGAAAACTGATCAAAATGGTGGTTGTATTTGTATTTTGTGTTCATGTTGACATGTGCCTCAGAATGCTTACAGTTGTGATTATTCGATTTGATTGAAATGTGGTCTAAGTGTTTCCATAACCTAAGGTCAGGTATGGAGCCCCAGGTGTGGAGTTCATGGGTCTACATGATGAGAATGCCGCAGTCACTCAAGTGCACTTTCTCCCCCATCAGGTACAGCTATCTCAAAGCACGTTCTCCAATATTGATCAAGGTGTCAAGCTTTTTTTTAGTATACAAATGATTATAACTGTTCACACTGTTTGGAATATTGTTGTATATGAAATGATAAAATCATGATTATATTATGTGATGTATGTTATACACTACATTTTGTTTAGGTTGAACTGGTGACCCTGCTAGACGACAACAGCTTGCACATGTGGACTTTGAGAGCCCACACAGGACTTTCAGAACTTCTAGAGATAGGACGCTTCACTCTCACTGGTCCACCTGGGTAAAATAAAAAACAATTATGTCCACACAGTACAATTTGTTCACTATTAGGCTTTGATGAACATGAATCAGGTTTCAAAATATTTTTCAAGTTTCATCCCTTTTGTCTTGTGTTTATTCGAAAACAGGGAATTTAAAACTGAGGGCAGAAATTGTACAAGGAAAATTAGTTGTGATTTGTGTTACTAGTTTGGCCCCTAAAATGGGCAAAAATATTGCTCATTGTTATCCAAAGTAAAAGTAGATGTTTGTAAATGTCTTATTTTGATTCCACACAAAGACAAGTGTTCTTTCATGGAGGACTACTAAAATTTGAGAATATTAGACTCATGGTCTCGAAATGATGATTGTATTTTTTTGGACTACAAGTCGCAATGGTTTTCATAGTTTGGCTGGTCCTGTGCTAATACTCGGGTGCGACTTGTGTATATTAACACCCAGAGTCCCCCGTTCCCTAATGGTGTCAACCTTATGTGGATTACCGCCACGTTCTTTCTACCAGCGGTAATGCACCAAAAATATTTGCCAACTACTAAAAGACAGCACAGTGAAACTCCTCTACAACGAAATCATGTTCGCAGCAAGAAATTTTTCACAACACGGGGTTTTTCACTGTAGCAAATTTGATCTCAGATGTAAACACACACACACACACACACACACACACACACACACACAAACGGATGTGTACACGCACACACAAAGGTATGTGTACTCTTTAGTTTTATTCCAATAGTGCATAAATATGAGCATACACTTGTTTGACACTTCATAGTCAGTATAGAAAGAAAAAAAGGGAAAGAAATTGCGAAATTTACGATCAGCATTCACTTTCACTGACATCAATTTCTTGGATAATGTCTTTTATTTTGCTTCCCCCGTCTTTCATTTTGATCACTTTTACCCTCTCTTCCAGCATCAGAGCTCTTTTTGTCTTAGCTGCTTGACATCCAAAGGTCCGTTTTGTCGCCTTTTTAGCAATGCAACGTTCTAGCTGCGTCCGAAACTAACAATAACAAATAATTCCTGGACTACTGCGCATGTGTAAACCAGTGTGGTGGTTGCTCTTGTTCTTTCCGAACAAAGCAGTAGAGGTCGCTGTTGGATTAGACTTCGTTGTAGTGAATCTCATCGCAAGGCAAGTGCAGAGAAAAAGATTTCGTATAACGCAACAGGGTTTTTTCGTTGTATGGGGTATAGGAGAGATGGGATGGTGTTATGCATGAAGACTTTTTTACACTAGGGGGTATTTTCGCCCATGTAGGTTTCGTTGTAGAGGAGTTTCACTGTAGAAGAAGAAGAAGTACTCATGCAGCAGTGGCCACCTTTTGATAACATGCTAAATTCGGTGGTGGCAAAGCTGTCATTGTTAAAAAGGGGGCTGTTGTTTCGGCGCTCCGACTGGACGTTGACACTGTCAGGTACGAGGTTAGTTAGATTGCGTATTCGTCACGTGCCCAAACCGGCTTCCTTTGTCTACGCTCTTTGTTGTCTTTTTATTGATGTAGTTATTGATTTACTGATGTAGGGAGTTTCATTCTGTGTAAGCGGCTAGTTTTGTTTGCTTGAGGACTTGTTCAAGTTTAAATACTCCCAAAACGCACATCACGCACTGTGCCTTGGGCTCCATCCTCCGTGGGGGCTCCCTGATCCTCTCTGGAGGGGTGGTGGGGGGGTTATTCAGCATGAGGTGATGTATTGCTACATACAACATTTGACCAATGCTCCCAAGTTCCAACATGTACTTAATGGCCAAAAACTCTATCTCCCTCTGATGGATCATTACAAAATTGTTTTGGGCCATGAAACACTGGTGTTCACGCGGCAAACCTTGGCACCTCTTTCGTGACCACTCCGATATGTACTTGACAGTTCATCCAAATTTCCGCCCAACACCAGGTCAGATCGACTATGCATTAATCCCTCGTTTTTCGCAGTTGATTGGTACCGGACCCATAGCGAAAAGTGAAAAACCGCAAAGTAGGATTTCGAACCCTGCACCTCTGGACTGTGAGGCCGGCATGTTTACCAGTCGACCACTGTGCCGTCTTTACTTAAAGCTTTAATCATAAAACCGTATACCGTAATTAACATCATCAACATTGCCTTCTGGGAGAGGTGAAGTGGATTGTGTTGGTGGCATAGAAGGCGGCTCTCAATTGACTTGTAGGCTTTTGCTTCACTCGAGAATCTTCTGCTGGAGGCGCTGACGGTGGAGCTGAGGTTTTTAAATTGTAGAAAAAAATGGTGATGAGTAGCTCTATGACATTTATCTTGTCTTCTTATCAGTTGAAATAAATTTAAGGTTTCTTTATTTATCAGACAATGGTCTTTTTTTAGTGAAGAAAAAAAACTCTAACCAAGCTAACAGTTTAGGCTGTCTCTTCAGACCTTCGTCTGAGCTGTCAGTGTCATGGCTTCCTTGTGATAGTTAAAAAAAAAAAACAAAAAAAAAAAACCAGCCGGGTCAGGAAACCTTCAAAATAATTCTACCCGGTGAAGGCTGCGACCCAACTCCCCGCTGCTGCCGTTGAAGCGAAGTGTCCCAACGAGTGGCCTAACACGCTCCCACACAGCGGGGATGCATTGCTTCGGCAGCGGCAAGGGGTTGGAGCACAGCTTAACTCATCAAAAAAAGTTACTGCTAAAACAAAAAAAAGTTACAGCCAATCAGCTTATGGGATAAATCCACTCGTGCTCTCATCGGTCGATGTCGTGCCGGGAACTAATCACGCGCCTTGTTTGAGTGGGCATGTACAAAGCCTCTGAGTCACGTCAGCTCTTTGTTCGGCATGCAGGGAAACCTTTCTAGTGCATCTACATGAAACAATGTCTTTCTGTAATATAGGCACCGATATGACTGTATTTAAAAAAAAATTTTTATCGAGTTTGGAAGAAAAAAAACGCGAAACACCGAAGCCACAAAACTTGAAACGCAAACTGACGAACGATCACTGTATTTTTTTTTGAGGGCATGAAGGGTGAAGGTGGGGCGCAGTGTGGACAAAATTTAATGTTGAGCGGGGCCAGATTTTGGTCAGGAGCGGGTCTGACTATACCATTGGAATAAAATAAATACATAACAATAAAACAAATTAATATATAGTTCAATAGCAACCTCTTACTTTTCATAATACTTTTACATATGAGAAAATTACTTTTCATATGGAAGTGCATTTAATGTCAGGTACGTTAAGGCTTTTACTGAAGTAACATTCGACAAGGTGACTTTCTGCCAAAGTTCTTTTCTTTGAAGATACTTCTACTCTTGCAATGTTTTCAGGTACTTTATATAAAAGACTTTACAATTACTTCTCGAGGGAAGTGATCAATTACTTGTCTCATGTTTTTGATTTGCACGTGGTTATGCTATGGATCTTATTTTTAAGCAATGTAGAAGGCAGAAAGGCCACTTGTTAGAAAACAATTACAAACTTAGTGCACTTTGAGACAATTCGCATAATATTGTGAAATCCTGTAGTGTTAACTGTATATAATCTCTCGCCTTAACTCCTTCTTAGTGCCCCACCAAGTGTGACCAGGGTGACAGCGGTGCTGGCCCACTCTTCTGGAGAGCTGTTGCTCCTGGGAACTGAGGGGGGTCATGTCTTTATAGTTCAGGTGCCTGGCTTCAGAGAGCTTGAAGAGAGGAACATAAGCCTTGCTGAAATTACCAACAGGTGAGCAAATGTATAGCTGGAAAAGTTCTTTCTTGACAAATATAATCATGTTCGGTGTTCAGGGTTTGGACATATGCAATAAATTGTGCTGTACATGTAATGGTCGAAAACCCCCAAAAAGTGTCAAGTAGGAGTGGTTGATATGGGCTCAAAAAATTCAGTGTATCCATATTCTGGACACTCTGGAGAAGGTGGGCAACAGGTGGATGTGAGCTAAGCTAACAGCTATGAGGGACAGACCCTCCCACACCCTCCAGTCCACCCTGACAGCACTGGGTAGCTCCTTCAACCAGAGACTGTTACACCCGCGCTGCAAGGAGAGGTACCGCCGCTCATTCCTGCCGACCGCTGTCAGGCTATTGACACTCACCCGCGCTGCAAGGAGAGGTACCGCCGCTCATTCCTGTCGACAGCTGTCAGGCTATTGAATAGCTGATAGACGGTCCTGAAAACCTGGACTCACCCCACTCATCCATTTTTAATATGCTTATATTTATATGTTATATTTTATATTTATTTATGTACCTTTTGTTTTCTACTTTCTCCCTTTCATAATTTTGCTGTTGTAAATAGGGGATTTCTCCACTGTGAGACAAATAAAGGTTTTCTTATCCTATCTTATCTTATTTTTTCCAAAAACTTTATAATGATTTCAACAATACATGTTTATTGATTTCTCCACTGTGAGACAAATAAAGATTTTCTTATGCTATCTTATTTTTTCCAAAAACTCTATAATGGTTTCTACAATAGATGTTTATTGAAATAGCACTTTCACAACAGCTGTAGCTATAACAAAGCGCTTTACAGAACAGTTAACATAAATTAACAAAATAATATAACACAACACGTAACATAAAACACGGAGAGTCATGCAGTCTTAACTACTTTTCCTGCAAACGCTTTGTTGTTTGAAGCAGTTTCAGATGAAAGAGGAGAGAATCAAAGTGTCCAATCAAAATGTGCACATGTCTGCTACAAGCTAAGTTTGAAAGTAAACAAGAAGCTGTCGCTTCCATTGATGTTAAGTTTGAAAGTAAACAAGAAGCTGTAGCTTCCATTGATGAAAAAAGAGATTGGTTTACTTCTCCTGTCCCATGTAAATCCGCTTCAATTCCAAGCAGTGACTCTCAGGTCCAATTACCGATCTGTGCTGCGCGCCGATGCTCCACTCTTCTCATCCTCGGCCCAACAAGCCATCCATCCAACCGCACCAGCGCAGACTGTCCAACAGCGTTGACATCTCCGCTAAACAAAACGAGGCTGTCAAAAATGCTGCCCATTACAGGCGCAAAAAACACAAGTGCCCCGTGGCAGCTTTACTTAGCTTTTCTTTAGCGTGCTTGTGGACTTGCACAGTTGACCTCATAATCCATTTGGTTTGCGATGGAACAGATTTGTCAATGAATTGCTCTTCGTGCCGAGCATTTCCGCACATCTAACAATTTTATTCCAAAGTGACATCACCCGAATGATTTCCAACTGCGAATCATTTCCAGGCTACGTTATTAAATAGTCACTGCGATGAGAGTCTAAATTTGAAGCAATGCTGTCTTCTGTGAGCTGGTCCCACACGTGACTGAGTCTTGCCTGCTGATTCACAGAATGAGGGTTTATCACTTCCTTCTACTTTGCAGCCAATCAATGGACTCCCTCATCTTTTCTTTTCATGACAGTATTAATACCACGCTAATATAAAATTGCAAATTGTGAAAGCAACAATAATAATAATAATAATAATTCATTTTATTTAAAAGCGCCTTTCATGCCACCCAAGGACACTGTACAGACAATGAGGAAATACAACATAAAAACAGATAAGAGAAATATTATATAAAAACAGGACATAAAATCGCAAAACATGGGAAATGGAAGATGACGATATATATCGCCCACCTCGTAGTGTCAAGCTTAATTAGGGAGAGCAAGTCGGGCCACAAAACATCAACATTTCATATCTTGTACTTCAAGAAGAGTTTTGCGCTTTGTCAGCGGAAGAGGGAAACAAACATGACTGAGATAAAATAAATAAATAAATCTCACTCAAATAATTTCGAAAAGTGCCAGCAACCAAATACAATCCATGTTTTATTCAACTTGCCTCCGAGTGAAATGTTGAAAACCCGTGGTCCATGAGGACTTATTGCCGGAAACCGGGCCTTGTAAATAAAATGTTTTATTTGACTTGCCCGGGGCTTAAAGACTTTATGCAAAACAGAAACAAACACTGCCCAACATTGTATTGTAACACACAGATTTCATACCAAACGGGACTCAGTTTTACCAAGTACAGTGGTATGTCTACTTACCAAATTAATATGTTCTGGAAGAAACTTTAAAATGTTGTAAGTCGATACGCGTTTTCCATGTAAATGCCCTAATGCGTTCCAGGTCTCCCAAAATTATAACATAAATGTTTTATAAAGCTTAAAAATGCATCAAAATATGTAACAAATACATGCTAGAATTAGATTATAGCACAATAAATGATAGTTGTGCATAATGTAAAAAAAAAAAAAAAAAGTAAAGAATAAAAATGGTCATTTAACTTTTAATTGTATCCTCATCGTTTTTTGGCCCCTTCAGTTCATGTTCTCTCTAAGAAGTAGTTTTTGCCAGGCGTTTTGTAAAGAACTAATCCAAGGACATTTGCTTTTGCCGGCTTTTAACAATCCTTCGAAAGTGTCCAAGGCAGACATCAGCACAGTAAGCGATCACCCTACTGGTGAACACTTTTTCTGGGTGATTCACATTTACATAAAACTAACGGAACGCCTCATGGCCCGAGGGGCGAATGACGAGGACGTTGGCTGCATAGACACATCTCTATCTATCACCACACAGACAGATCCGGTAGAGGTCCCTCTTAGCCAATCGGATGCCAGGGTGATGCTCGGTAGTAGCCAATGGCAGAGCAGCTATTAGAATGTTGCGTTCAGGAAACTCGGAGCTGAGAGAAGCAATGCAGACTGTATTTTTACCACACTGTTTTTGAAATTTCTTTCGTAAGAAGAGGCAGTATTTTCCTGTTGAGGTGTTTCGTAACTTGAACATTTCGTATGAAGAGGTGTTTGTAAGTCAAGGTACCACTGTTTTTTGCACATTGCCATTTTTGTTCCATGGTAAATCTGGTTAGAAAGTGTGTGGTCTTGTCTTCACCCCATTAGGCTGATGAAAAATTATGGCCCCCTCCATCATTTAAGTTTCCCATCCCTGAATTAATTTCAGAACTTAAATTGACCCTGGACCTGTTCCGAGTTTCTTTTTGCCATAGTCAGCTGGTATAGGACATTTTATTTGCACAAGAGAGTCAATTTCCTCCATGGTTTGCAACTTTGGAAGTGATATATCCAGCACTTTCCGGCTACTCAGGTAGGAAATAACATACAAATCGACAGAATGCTCAATGATTGGATCAGTACATAAATGTGATATTTGCTTTTTGTCCATACACCACAGCAACTGGAGAGTCTGTGTTGGACAGAGGACAGGGGATACATTCTTAGTTCCCACAGCGATGGTAGCTATTGTCGTTGGCTGTTTGGTGAGGAAGATGGAAATGAGGTGGAGAAGTCAGACATTCCTTATGGTGAGGATGCTGCGTGCCCACTTTCCGATACTGTTGGATGAGAAAAACATTCAGCTGGATGAGAATGAATAACTTATTTTCCTTTCTTTCTCTAGGACATTTCCCTTGCAAAGCCATTTCTAAAATAATTCAGCTGCCTACAAAGACAGGGTATGTTATCTTGTGTTTTAATTCGCTCATGCATTTCAGAGACGTGTGTGTGTGTGTGTTAATGTTTGCTGATGGGTGACGTGCACGGAATGTACTTTTAGTCAAGTTGCACACCCACTGAAGTGCATCTTTTTTGGGAAACAAAGGTAAACTGATCATTTTGACCATTTGCTTCAGGGAGAAATGTAGATTCTCAACAATTTAAAGCCATTTCCAAGTGTCTTGCCCTGTCACACGCCAAATGACTCGGCAGAAATACGAGTACTGCAACAAATACAGTGTGTGTGTGTGT